ATTTTAACGGCGGCAATAATAATTTATAACCTTTTTTGAAATAAAAAAACAATTATATTTATTATGTTATTATGTATTTTGTTATAAATTGTGTAAAGTTACGTTTATGAGAAACGATATCAGTATCATCAATGATTTAACGGTTCTCATTGTGATTATGAATGTCCTTAATGTTGCAGAAAAGAATGATGCTGCGAAAAATATCGCAGCCTATTTGTCCCGTGGCGCGTATAAACGGGTAATTAAAAAATCTTTTCAGTTGATTATAAAATTTATTTATTTTTATAAAATTTATAAAAGATTTTATAAAATTTCATACAAATAATATTTATTTTATATTTTTTTTTTATAGAGAGAAGGATTATGGCTGTATAATAAAATTTTTGAATTCAATTCATATTTATGGAATAAAAATTGCCATATGATCATGACCTCAGTATCTGGTCATTTATTAAATTGTGAATTTGTTGGTATATATCGTAAATGGCAAAGTTGTCATCCATTGAGTTTATTTGATGCACCAGTAGTAAAACAATGTTCGCAAGAGAGTTCTATTAAGATTAAAAAAACTTTGGAAAAGGAAGTACAAAAATGCAATGCATTAATTATTTGGACAGATTGTGATCGAGAAGGAGAAAATATAGGTTTTGAAATAATTCAAGTTTGTCGTGCGATTAAACCAAGTATTCGTATATATAGGTATCAAATATGTTATTCATTGTATTTTGCAATTTTATTTCATATGATGTAAATATATAAATATTTAATAGGGCAAAATTTTCTGAAATCACACAAACATCTGTAAATAGATCACTACAAAATTTATGTGAACCGGATAAAGCAGTTAGTGATGCTGTTGATGTACGAAGTGAATTAGATTTAAGAATAGGTATTTAAACATATACATAATAATTAAATTTATTAATAAATTTAAATGCAACAAGAACAATATTTTATAGGTGCAGCATTTACAAGATTTCAAACATTAAGACTTAGGAAAGTATTTCCCACAACTTTGGCTGATATGTTAATTAGTTATGGTAGTTGTCAATTTCCTACATTAGGATTTGTAGTTGAAAGATTTTTAGCTATTGAAGAATTCAAGATTGAACCATGCTGGAAAATAAAAGTAATGGATATTCGTGATAATATTTCTGTGGAATTTAAATGGGCAAGAGGAAAATTATTTGAAAAATTACCTTGTGAGATATTTTTGGATATTTGTTTGGAACAACCAAATGCTACTGTACAAAAGATATCAAGTAAACCTACAAGTAAATGGAGACCATTACCATTAGATACAATTGTAAGTAACAATATAATAGTTCAAATGAAAAAAAAAAAAAGTAAAATACAATTTATTTATTTACATTAAATAAGTTTAGGAATTGGAAAAGCAAGGATTGCGTAAACTTAATTTAAATGCAAAGGAAATAATGAAAATTGCAGAAAAATTATATACTCAAGGTCTTATTAGTTATCCACGTACAGAAACCAATATATTTCCAAAAGAATTGAATTTGATTTCATTGGTGAATCAACAAGTAAACAATCCGGCTTGGGGTAATTTTGCACAACAATTGTTAGAAAAAGGAGTAAATCCTAGAAGAGGTAAAAAAAGTGATCAAGCACATCCTCCAATACATCCAATAAAATATTGCGATAATTTAAATGGTAATATATTCTTGAAAATTTGACAATTGTTCGATTTGATATGAAAGAATATTTTGTTGTTAATTTGTAATAAATTATTTAATGATAGGTAATGAAGCTAAAGTTTATGAATTCGTGGTCCGTCATTTTTTGGCATGTCTATCAAGTGATGCAATAGGTCATCAAGTAATTGTAGAGATTGATATAGCTGGAGAAAAATTTAATGCTAATGGTTTACAAATTATAGAGAAGAATTATTTAGATGTATATATATATGAAAAATGGAATGAACAAAAGATTCATAATTATCGCGAGGGACAAATTTTTAAACCGACCAGTATAGAGATGGTAGAAGAGGAAACATGTCCACCACAATTATTGACTGAAGCTGATTTGATCACTTTGATGGATAAACACGGCATCGGTACTGATGCTACTCATGCAGAACATATAGATACAATAAAATCACGACAATATGTAGGTTTGATGGATGAAAAGCATTTAATACCTGGAAAGCTTGGAATAGGTTTAGTACTAGGTTACGATAATATGGGATTTCAAATGTCTAAACCAGGTTTAAGAGCTGAATTGGAAAAAGATCTCAAGTTGTACGTTAATTTTTTAATTCTTTTAATTATTTTTTACATAACAAAATAGAATTTTCAATTTTATTATTTAAATGTATTTTATTTGATTATATCTTAATTTTATATAATTTTGTATACAAAATAGGATATGCGAGAAGCGAAAAAATGCGAAAGAAGTATTGGAAAATCAAATAAATAAGTATCGTGATTTGTTTAAAATATCAATGGAACGTGCTAATTTAATTGATAATGCTTTAGCCGATTACTTCGATGAACAACCAACGAAAATACAAGAATTAGAAAATAATTTTCCATCTCAAGATATTGCTATTTTTAAATGTCCGAAATGTGGCTTGGATATGACTCTTAAAGATAGAAAACAAGGGATGGGAAAATATATTGGGTGTATAGGATATCCAACATGCAATAATGTAATTTGGTTCCCACAATATATCGAAGATGTTGAAATTACGGATAATATTTGTTCACGAGTAAAATATTATTTTGTTATAATATTTATAATTATTATATAATGTGTATAATTTATAATTAACATTAATTTTTTTTATAGTGTCCAGGAAATATTCATGAATTAAAATTTAAATTACGTAAAAATGCTTATCCTATTTATGGTACGGATTATAAAACTTGCATAGGTGGTTGTGATCCTACATTTAATGAATTATTAAAAATAAGGGACTCAAATATCAAAAGTCAAACTCAAATAACTGATGATTCCGGTTATCGCAATACATTTGATAAAGTTAATATTTCACACTCAACTTCAGTAGGGAACAATGAAACTTATTCATTTTTAAATATTCAAAATGAGACAGATTTATCTGAATGTAATATATCTACAGAATTTATTCGAAATCAGAATATTAATCGCAATAATGCAATGCAATCGCGAAATAAACAACAACATAATTTAAAAAACAATACATGGACTGATAATAATAGTATTAATATTTCGAAAATAAACAATAATGAAGATAAAATATGGGGTGACATTGATGAAAATTCTGTTATTTTATGCAATTGTAATGAAAATGCAATTCAATTAATTGTAAGAAAGGAAGGACCAAATCATGGTATAAACTTAAATGTTTATAAATTTTTATTTAAATTTTATTTTAAATCGTATTTTTCATTAAATACGATTTATTATAATCGTATAATTTCATTTTTAGAATTATAAAAATTGTTAAATTATAATTATTATTTTTTTTTTTTTAGGAAGAGCATTTTACAAATGTGCAAAACCTATGAATACTCGTTGCGATTTTTTTATTTGGGCACCAGATAATATGTCAGATCATATACAAAACAATACAAGTAAAGATTCAAATCTCGTTAGTACAATTACCGAATTGAATGTTAATAATTATAATGTAGCTACAACAATTAAATGTAATTGTAATCAATTGGCCACAACGTGAGCAAATGTTTAATATATAATATTTTTTTTTTTGATATTTTTCAGATCTTAAAGAATAATTTCTTGTTTTTTTTTGCAGACGAATTGTAAAAAAAGATGGTCCCAATAAAGGACGTTCTTTTTACACATGTCCTAAGAATATGAATGAATCTTGTAAATTTTTTCAATGGGCGGATGAAAATGTTGAAACCACGTATAATAATACGTTTCAGGAAAATAGTAAAAAAAGATTCAAAAAAGAAAGAAGCGAGCAATTCCAAAATTTACAAAAAAAACGTCGAGTTGTTACTGGTAAAAGAAAATGTGGAATTTGCGGAATAGAAGGTTTGTTTGTATATATATAT